GATAAAATACAAGAAAACAAAATAAAATCAGAAACAAATAAAATAAAATAAAATATATAGACTAATTAGACTAGTGGAACGGCCGCACCACCAGCCTGGGGGGGTAGCCTCCCACTACATGGAGGCAGGTCGACGGCCAAAGGAAGGGGCGGGGGTACGTGCCAGTAAAAAACAAAACAAAAGACAAAATAAAACAGAATAAAGCAAAGACGAGGACACAAGCAAACTCGCACAGAGACAGGGATATCCCTAGAGACAGTCTGAACGCGACAGCAAACGGGGGAGAGGGCAACAGAAAAATTAGTCGTTGAAATTCGACCGCAACATGTCACGTCACGCGGTCGGTCTCTTCTCGCTTGCTTTCTTCCCGCCGCGCCGTTTCCTTCCGCCCCCCTACCGCCCCGTTGATTGGTGCCGTATCTAGACTATTTTTGGGCCCGCTGTCTCCTCGTTTGATGGCTCGTTGTCGGCTGGCCTCCTCCTTGCCCTTGTGCCAAGAGGCCATGAACCTCTCAGCTCCCTGTAGCACCCCCGCGTGCCACGGTACCCCCCCCTCCACCTTCGCCGCCTCACTCCAGACTAACTTCGGGACTCCGAAGACGCTCGGCTTGTCGGTCGTGGAGCCGTACCTGGCTTCGAACATCTTCATGTCGTCCTTCAGGCATGTCAGCCAGTTCTGCTCCGGGTTTCCCCGGCCCGGGTCCTCCCCTCCCACCAACTCGCCGAACATCAGCCGTTTCGGAAGCCGCCCGTCCGGCTGTCTTGCCACGGCCCCCGCAAAGAGCAGGCGCCGTTGACGGACAGTGGCCTCCACGCTCTGGCAGCCGACCCTCTTTAGCGCCTGGGCGTATGACAGCTGCCGGTAGGTGCCTCGTTTGCGCCGGTAGCCGATGACTCGCAGGAGTAGCCGGTGGTGTGTCGTCTGCAGCATTCCGTAGTGGTTGCGGCGTGGGGACCATGTCATGCAGCCGTATAGCAGTGCCTCCACTGCCTCCGCCTGGAGCAGGCGGGCTTTGAGGCGAAACGGTGCTCCCGGTCGGTCGAAGAGCTCCGTGGCGTATCGCGTAGTAGAAAACTACATTATTGGGGATTGATGTGTTATACTCCAGGAGTGAGTATAATTTATCCATCCATGCCTTTCTTTGTTCTTAGCACCAGCTGGCACTACGGATACGATTCACTGCTGTACAAGGTAAACAAACTCAAAACAAGCCCAAAATAAGCCCAGTTTCCTGCCGCTTACCTACACTCATATGAAGCCAAATTATTAAGCACATACATACATGAACCGGTCGCCCCGGTGGTCTTCTATCTAGTTGGTGTCCTCGAACCCTTCTAGAGGTCAGGTCAGGGGTTCGGATCCCGGCGTAAGCGAGCTTTTCTTGCAAAATGAGTTTTTCTCTCGCTTACGCTCCTCCTCCTGGCCTAGTGTGGATAGCGCTAATAAAAGAGTTCGTGTGTACACAGAGGGAAGAGAGTGCTGAACTCTTCTCGCATTGAAAATCGAAGGCAAAGTACCGCAGAGCGCAGAGCGGGAGGGCCGCTTCTTATGTGTGACAACGGGTTGGAGTAAACGGCACTACCACCAGTCAGTCAGTGTTGTGAGCGCTGATTTGAAGTAAGACAACAAAAGAAAAACAAAAAAAACATAAAATCCTTTCGACTCCCGCTCGCTGTGGTTATATCCAACGGGTAGTTTTAGTCATTCTCGTGATATTACTCTCTACTACGAAGTAATACATGTTGATAGCGGCGGCAGTGGTTTCTTTTTATGCCCCACCTTCCTCCTGCGGTGCGTGCTGAATTTTATTTTTATCGCGAGAAGGGTCCAGCCGTCCCTTTCCCTCGTCAACGGTGCTAACGTCGAAGTTTGGTACTCACGAGAGCTTTTATCCTATGTTTCGCTTTCACCTGCGAATTTCGTAAATTCTTCACCCCATGGGGATTCGAACTCACGACCTCTGCGACTAGCGGATTACGAGCATGCCACTGGACCACCGGGGCGACCGGTGGTGACAACATATTCGCCTGGTTGAGAGCGAAGTATCTGATTGAGAGCGAGAGCCAAAAAAATTGAAATTTNTCCTATGTTTCGCTTTCACCTGCGAATTTCGTAAATTCTTCACCCCATGGGGATTCGAACTCACGACCTCTGCGACTAGCGGATTACGAGCATGCCACTGGACCACCGGGGCGACCGGTGGTGACAACATATTCGCCTGGTTGAGAGCGAAGTATCTGATTGAGAGCGAGAGCCAAAAAAATTGAAATTTCGGGTCCAGACGCCTCTTGCCATTTCTTGGCAAGTAGGGGACGGGCTATTCCAAGAAGCGGTGCAAATTGAAGGTCTCATCAGCAGCTTCGCGAGCATATGCGTGTCATCGTCATCGGATGCTGCAGCGAGGAGCTAGACAAGTTGCTAGATTTGCCCAGATTGGCTATTTCTGCTCAAACTGTTTCAGGGCGGTATCGCGTCGGGCGGTGGGCTCTGCTGTAGCTTCTGCTCCCCGCTGTAGCTCCACAACGAGAGACTCCCACAGGATGACCAGGGTAGCGGCTTGAAGCTACGGGCTAGCCCTTCAATTCAAGCTACACAGCAAGCTCCACCTCTCAGTGAATGTCCGGCTACAGCGTATCGCGCAATCTCGCTCTCAATCAGATGCTACGCTCTCAATCAGGCGAATATGTTGTTCTGGTCTAAATAGTGAATAAATATCCCCCGAAAAAAATCGGGTTCACATTCAGGTGATGTGTCTGTATCGTGTGTATGCATTTGTGCCATGTTTTTTGGGGTTTTCGGGCTGCATGACAGCTATCAGCGGGCGTAGTCATTCCGTGATTACGTCTAGATAGACGCAAGGGATTTACAAGCCCGAGTGTGCGAGCCCAACGAGCGGGCACGTCCCGTGATAAAAATTGTACAATTAGACTACAGGAAGGAGAATATGTGCCCTTCTTGTAGAACAAAATTTATTTACTTATTATGGCGGTTTGAAAGGAGGGAGACACATGTATGTGCATAGTCTCCATATTTGACACCGCACGGGAGTAGATCGAATCACCCTCTGTTGTTCTTGTGTTGCTAGGACAAACAACACAAAAGACTTGGCGAAGGGACACGAAACCGTCATGCTTGCTGTGTGGCACCTATCAGCGGTCATGACAAAACAAAAAAAATCGTTCACGCAGGGCCCGGGAGCAGGAGAGCAGCCTTCGCTGCTTCGAAAACGCCTTCTCCATCCCACATGATGACCGAGAACGATCAGCACAAGAAAGTATCCACTGCAGACGGGGTCCTCTCAAACATGCTTGACATCTGTAAGATAAAGTTACACCATTAGTCTAGACTAGTCAGCGCTGACTAGTCTAATGGTGTAACTTTATCTTACAAAAGATATACGCTCAGCTCGTAAAAGTACCCAGAATACCATCTCAACTCTCCCAGGTTCTTCACTGGCACGGACTTGTTAAGGTCGGCGCCAAACTTATCACATCTCTCCCTCTCTCCAACAGCAAAAATGTCATCTACATGTACTACAAAAATCAAAACAACACATACATCCATCCTCAATCAAACGAAACACACAAGCATCATCGGCCATGCACTGCTCAAATCCTAACGCCACCAAACACCTCTTCAGCATTGCATGCCACTGCCTAGATGCCTGTCTCAAGCCATACAGACTCTTGCCTAGTTTTACAATCATTCCAGATAGAGCTCCACATCCCTGCGGCAAACGCATGTACACGTCTTCCTCCAACTCCGAATGCACAAAAGTGCGTCACGCTTTCGACGACAGAAGCAGAGTACGTCGCGCTAGGCGACGTAGTGAAGGAGATTTTGTTTTTGCTGTAGCTCTTCCCCGCTAAGGGCGGAGAGGTCGATGCCCTCCATAGTGTATGTTGTTGTGGGAGTCTACCGATTGCGCGTGGCTGCACAACCCCCGGAAGGCTACGCCCGCGCGCAGATACCGTGATATCGACACTAGTAGTGTGAGAGGTAAACTACGCGGGGTGCAGCAAGCACGTTCTGGACGTTACTTGGGGCACTGGGTAGTCGGCCGTGTTAGGCCGAGAGAGAGAGGTTGGGAGAGAGGTAGAGAGAGAGTGGGAGAGGGAAACTTGATTGGAGAGAGACGGTGGTGGTGGTGGAGAGAGACGGTGGTGGTGGTGGAGAGAGACGGTGGTGGTGGTGGAGAGAGACGGTGGTGGTGGTGGAGAGAGACGGTGGTGGTGGTGGAGAGAGACGGTGGTGGTGGTGGAGAGAGACGGTGGTGGTGGTGGAGAGAGACGGTGGTGGTGGTGGAGAGAGACGGTGGTGGTGGTGGAGAGAGACGGTGGTGGTGGTGGAGAGAGACGGTGGTGGTGGTGGAGAGAGACGGTGGTGGTGGTGGAGAGAGACGGTGGTGGTGGTGGAGAGAGACGGTGGTGGTGGTGGAGAGAGACGGTGGTGGTGGTGGAGAGAGACGGTGGTGGTGGTGGAGAGAGACGGTGGTGGTGGTGGAGAGAGACGGTGGTGGTGGTGGAGAGAGACGGTGGTGGTGGTGGAGAGAGAGGGAAGAAGGAGTGTGCAACACGCACGCAAGCCTCATCGTTCCAACCGCGCCGAAAGGGTTCCCGTGACTGCACCGATGGTACCCTACAACACACGAAATTCCCAACACGTATCCCCTGGGATCCTCACGACCAGATACTGCTGCGAGTATATCTAACACGTAGTGAAGGAGATTTTGTTTTTGAGGCAGATTTGGCGTTTCATGTTGCCGCAGGTCGGCATGCCGTGCATCAAAGTCTTCGAGGACAACCAGGGGGCGATTCTAGCGCAGAACCCCACCCATCTCAAACTCGAACTCGAAGCACATAGATGTAAGGCACCATTTTCTCAGGGAACTGGTAGAGAGAAAGGAAATTTCGGTCAATCACGTGCCGTCGCCGTACCAGCGTGCAGACTTCCTTACGAAGAGTTTGTCGAAGGATGCTTTCGAGTCTCACCGTGATTTTGGCGATGAATTTGACATGAACATTTTATTGTTTTTCTGATAGGTTGTGTGTTGGTTTTGTTTTGCTTCTCGTTTTGTTTCCCGTTTTCTTTCATTTCCCGCGCCAAGTATTTGTCACGCGCGATGCAGCATTCATATTCCTTTGAACTGTTTTTCTCTCTCTCATGTTATTTTGGTAAAGTCTTGGTGGCATATCGTCTGGGAAAGACATCTTTTGGTTGAGATATCGGGTGTTCGCGAAGTTTTCAGTGAGAGACTGTTGCGAGCAGGGGGGATGTTAGATATACTCGCAGCAGTATCTGGTCGTGAGGATCCCAGGGGATACGTGTTGGGAATTTCGTGTGTAGTAGGGTACCACCGGTGCAGTCACGGGGATCCTTTTGGCGTGGTTGGTGCGATGGAGCTTGCGTGCGTGCTGCGCACTTCTTCTTCCCTCTCTCTCTCTCTACCACCACCGTCTCTCTCCAATCAAGTTTCCTTCTCCCACTCTCTCTCAACCTCTCTCTCTCGGCCTAACACGGCCGACTACCCAGTGCCCCAAGTAACGTCCAGAACGTGCTTGCTGCACCCCGCGTAGTTTACCTTTCAACATCAATTTAATAATCACCATAGCGCGTGTGACGCCACCCCAAACACGTCACGCGACGAGGAGGAGTTTAACGGGGCGACACAGCCCATCGCCCCCTACCCACCCTTGCCTTTTTTGCATCAATGCATACGTGTGTTGCTCCATTGGCGGCGACGGAGACCACCAAGGCATCCATATTAGAACCGCTAGCGTACGAACGTAACGATTGCCCTAGCGCCCCCCCCCCCCCCCCCCCCCCCCCCCCCCCCCCCCCCCCCCCCCCCCCCCCCCCCCNCCCCCCCCCCCCCCCCCCCCTCCCAAAAAAAAGAGCCACCACATGTTCCGACGTGTAATAAAATTTACTCACGCTTGTCGACCGGAATGTATATATATTTGAAAAGTACTACAGCACCATGCACAATATTCTTAGCACCGACCAACCAACACGAAGACACAAACAAGCTACTGTTGTAGAAACACAAAAAAACATTTTCGCCCTGTTGCCCCCGTCCCCTATATATCCATCACGCCACTGTTCTTCCCGTCACCAAGTCGCCCCCAACCAAAACTGGGTGCTGTTCTTCGCTGCCTCCACCAGACCTCTCCACCCCGCCACATGGAGGGAATTCGGGGGGTTACTCCGCATTCGTGACGGCGAGACACGCTCACTTCCGGTACAAGCTTGCGTGTGCCCCGCCGCCGCCCACTAAAACTCTCATCCGTTGCCTGTCGCTGAATTCCGGTCGGTCTCAAAAAACAGCATGCTGATCCGCGCGTCGCGACTTGGACCAACGTTGTTGGTCGTTGGTCCCAACCCAAACACCTCCCCTGCACTGCCCTATACATAGATATGAAAAATAAACAAAAGACCACCGCGTGAGACACCGGCTAGCGTACGGCGGCGAGCAGGAGGGAAAAAAAGGCATGCATCTGCTAGAAAAAGGTAACGAGTAGAGATAACGTCGTGCTCACGTAACAACAAGCAGGAAACGCGAGACTCTTGAGGTGCAACCACGGCAGACACCCGATACCGACCGTTTCGTACAACGAGGCACAAATACAGCAAAAACACAGCTCCCGGTACAAACCACACACAAACAGAAAGCAAATACACCTCTTCGTAACAACCAGGGCTCTTTATGGGGCGGGGGATCGTAACGGGAGAAAGTTTGCCTTGGTACTACGTAAAAAAATCGACCACACAGCCGGATCATTCGAGATCGGAAAACGGTCGCCCCGTCCAGAAAAAATTCTTGTAAAAGATTTACAAAAAACACGGAAGCACACTCCGATGGGGGTGGTAGTGGAACCGGGCTTTGTGGTAGAAACATGAGTGCTAATGCCCATCTGCGTACGTTATACACCATGGTACAATGAATCGTCAGCTGAGAATGCCTCGCGTGCCGACAATTTTTCCAACAAAGCCGCACACATAGCAGCCGTACATCGAAACTTACAGAAAAAAACGACCATAGCGAGCTTGGACCGCCTACTCGCCAAGAAAACGAATCGAAACTACACAGCAGCATCTTTATTGGCTGGATAAACAATACTATCTTGTTCTACAATCGGCCTCAACATCACTCACGATTGATTGTCGCTGCACCGGTCCGGAGAAGGCTCGCGAGGGCTGCAGCAGTTACACACCAAAATATTACGACCGCCCCCCTCGGGCATCCACCGGTATATTGGAGGCACGTTCCCCGCCCAAGATACTTGCCGAGAGCCCCCACGGCCCCTCTCGCTCACAGGCGCACAGAATTACCGTTGGGGCCGTTGTGGTTGTGGAGAGCCGCCGCACCAACCAACTGCCTCCCCCTCGCTCCACCAACAGAGCCTAAAAGCACGGATCGTATCAAGCCACCTCACCACACACCATCCCCCCTCCTTCCACTGGGAACCCGCGAACGAAGGATTGCTGAGCCTATATCTCAATCTCGGCGTCCTCGTCCAGGGCGTCTTGGTCGATCACCCCGTACTTGCTCCAGAAGTCCGGCTCCTCGTCGTCATCGCTGTCCGAAGCGTCGTCCTCCACCGCCTCTACGCCATCCACCCCGTCAAGCAGCCCGTCCGTCCCCCCCCCTCCCGCGTCCCCCGCTGCGTTCGCCCCTTCTTCGCTCCGACCTTGCGACGGCACGACGACTAGTGCTTCTTCTTGTCGTTGTTGCTCTTCCTGCCGCCGCCCGCCCCCCGCCGCCGTGCTCTTGTCGCGCCCCCCGCCCGGAGCTCTGGTCGACGGTGCCCCCTGCCGCGTGCTCGTCGCGGGGACGGTAGGAGACTGTCCCCGCTTGAGGCTGCTGCTGCCGCTGCCGGTGCGACCGTTGCCACCGCTGCTGCTGTTTCCCAGGCGGCCCGAGGACGTCGACTCGGCCATGTTGCCGGAGCTCCTCTGCGAGGCAGTGGTCAGGGTTTCATAACGAGGGGTGAGAGAGAAGAGACAAGAAAGAGCAACGTATCATTTCGGCGTGGTTCACCGAACACATAGGTGACCCTTCTTTCCCTTGGACGGGAACACTGCAACAGCAGTGCAAACACCAGGCGAACTATCGTCGAGTGACAGAAAACCCTAAGAAAAAACATTGATCCCCGTGCCCCCCCCCCCCCCCCCCCCCCCCCCCCCCCCCCCCCCCCCCCCCCC